ATGGAAAATTGGGAGATGGCAAGATTCCCATGTAATGATTTAAAAATTCAGGAACATGGGGATGGCTGTAAACTCCCTATTTGTACATGACAGGAAAATGGAGTTTCTCTGCATCATGAGTACCAATAGAGGGGAGATAAGGATCTGGAATATACAATAGAGGGGAGATAAGGATCTGGCATATACGAAACACCTCAGTTCTTATATTTTGAGATAGGAATAAGAACATTTGCTCTTTCTCTTTGCTGTTTAGATAGAAAAAGAGCTTCTCACAAATGTTGCTTATCTGAAGACCTCCATTTTATTTTGCATAGCTTTTCTTTATCCAGCTTTTTTATCCTATCCCTTCAAAATACTTTGGCTTCTGTGGTAGTCAAGCATTATTTATACTGAAAACTTGAAGCATCTCCGTAGCTTCTCTGTTGTGGTTACTTTCAAGTCTCTTGAATTATATTGTTTTGACTGAACTGTCAAGATTTCAAAACTTCTTGCTGACTAAAAACATATGCAGTACCAAAAATGGCAAGAGAAGGTATTTCTCTGGTTGTAAAGAGCCTCACTTCCACATGGGGGCAGGGCCTACCTATTTGAAATTGAGAATGTACTGCTTTGAAGCAAGAAAGTGTATGTTGAGTCACAGCCTGCAATCCAGATTTTTAACCAACAATGGCATTTTTAAAAATTCTAGTAAATAATTCCTATTGAGGTCACAAAGAGTTGGAAGTGACTGAACGGATGAACAACAACAATGCCTACTGAATTTTAATTTCTTGTTTTGGTCTTTCTAATCTGTAGTTTCAGGGAAACTTGAACTCTGAAACTCAAGCTGGTTCTTTTATGTATGTTTGCTGACATTTTCATATCCCATGCTTATTTTTCTTTACTAAAATGGCTAGGGTACTTCTTGTATATTCCATATTCTAGTGTCAATATGGAAACCATGTACAATCCAACAATCATGAGGATGTGAATTATACTGAACTTGCAGCATGAAATGCCGTGATACCATAAAACAATGAAAGGAGGGAGGAATAAATATTTGTGGATTCTAACTTATTAATCAGACACATAAAGTGGACTATAGTCCACAGAGGCTTACAAATCTGATCATCTTTAACACGCCACAAGGCACTTTGTTGTTGATGCCAAACAAAACAAAACAGAACTTAAGCCTGCCACGTGTTAGTCCATTTGCAAGAGTGGTGGCACTCCACTAATTCATATTTGAATCTGCATATCACTACTTGTGTGTGTTGAAATTTGATAGATCACTTTTCAATTGTTTCACAGTGGGGAGAGAGGTTGTAGCCATGTCAGCAAACGTGAGTAGTAATAATGTAGACTCAGAGAATTTAAAACATGAACTAGAGACGTACAGCCAAACATTTGTTTGATAAATTCGATCTGATATTAACATTTTCTGTATGAGGATTGTCATGTGGGTAAAGCTAAGCAGTGTATAAGCTGCTTTGTCATACAAGGGGATAGGAAAAGCTTAAAACAGGGGAGATGTTAAGTAAACAATGGTTCGCTGCTCTGAGCACTCACATCTCCTGAGCATACCCACAAAGTAAGGGAAAGGGCTTGCTATCTCCCCCCATTTCTCCAACACAATGTGCTTTGGCTTCTAGGCTTTGTAAGTTTCGAAAGCAAGATGTTCTTGTCTGGCTGAATAAAAACTCCTGGCATCAGCAAACAAACTTCAGCAGAGGGAAGATTTCCTTATTCATATGAACCAAAGGAGCCCCAGTCCTCCCGTCTTGACCAAAATAATCAACTACGGTTCTGAAGGACTGGAGACCTTTTGTAACATTTTTGTTGAGGTTCTACTTGTAGAAGTGGAAGAGGGTGGGATAGTGAAGGATAAAAGACATGGCATCATATTGTTAACTAATCTGGAGAAATACTGATGTATTCTTGAATATGAAACAACTCAAGAGTGACATTACAGACATTCCAAAATGTCTGTAAATGGAACAATATACTGAAACTGAAAAAAAAAAAAGAATCGTGAAGTGGCCTTCTTATAGAAGATATGTAAACAATTCAAAGTTAATACAGATCTCATTTCAATTTAAATAAGTGTGATCATGGAGATGCAACAATTAAATGTTGTGGCACAAAACAGTACTAGGCATTAGATGTAACGTAGTGTTCCATAAATACATTGATGTGCATATTATGTATCCGCACAGCACTGTACTTCATCACGTCCTTGTTCCTTAGCCACAATTTGCACTATCCCATTCCCATTCCCTTGTCTTGTTTACAGACTGGCCACATCTTACAGTAGTTATCACAATAGGCTATTGGACATTGTTCTAAGTTTTAAATTGTAATTTTTATATGCTCTATATTTTTTTTACTTTATTGTATTGTATATTTATTTTGTTCTATTTTAGGCACTTTGTGCCATATGTAATCCGCCCTGAGTATTTTTGAGGAGATGGAGTACATTATGTAGCACAAGTTTCATTTGTCGCCAAAGATGGCTAGAAAGCAATCTTTAGTATTACTGGCAAGTCTCTCAGGACTTCATTCCATCTTAATTTGTGGTTATGTGCCTTTAAATGGCTTCATTTTATGGTAACTCAATCCCTTTTTTTGGCAGGGTCAGGTCTTTGCAATTCCCTTCCTCTGAGTGTCAAGGAAATCCATGATTGAGCAGGAATTCAAACCCTGGTCTCCCAAAATACTTCAAAACTCAGTACACCACACCGACTCCTTTTACTTGTGTTTTTACTGGTCAAAAAGGGTTTCACCAGCCAAATAAACATTACAAAACACATACTTCACACAATTGTTTCAATTCACTACAGGATTCAAGCTTTCTTTTCTGATTAAATAAGGAAAATATTTACTCACCTGCAAGCGGGATATTTGTTTGAATCTAAGGCTTCCCTGTACAGCAGACACCTCTCCTGAAGGTCAGCCACTCTCCTTCCAAACTTTCAGAATTCAAGATATTCTACTCAAATGAAAATGCCCGTGAAAATACAGAAACCATGAAGAATGAAAGGCATGTTAAAAAGCTCGTTCAGGAAACATAGAATTTTCATATGACTATTTTAAACCTCTATTTTGAAACGTAATTTTAAATTATTCCTCTTCTTAGGACCCCAATGGCAAATAGAAATTAACTGAATCATATTCTAGATTAAATCAAAACATAATAAAACAAATTGTGTATCTAAAGCATGAGAAAAAGCGATAGGGTAAAAGGAATATAAGCTGTTAACCATAAAAGAAATCAAGTTGTAGTGTGGATATATCTTCAGCATTCATTTACAAGATGGTAGCCAATGTTTACTCCTTAGGACTAAACTCGGCTCATAAATGTTGACAGGCCTAATTTTGACAGTAAAATTTGAAGTGTTTGGGTGTAAGTTACTACCTGTCTTCTCATACATATGCATAGTATATACATAGTAGATTATATGGTCATCTCTGGATGAAACAAGTAATTTCTTTCATGTGTTGATGCAAGGCAATTGCCTTACAACCTGGCAGTGCCTCAAGACTATGCACTGTGATTAGATTTCTTTTTAAGTAGCACTGAACACAGCCATATCCAAGCAATAAATATAGCAATTAGGAAACAATTTAGGTTCCAGATAAACATTTACCTCGAAGCAAGACCTGTTGATTTGAATAGAATTGTTTGCTTACATAAAGGCACCATTCTGCAAGTAGTCAGTATTCAAAACTCTCTTTGTGCCAGGGTAATGTCTTCCTTATGCAGGACAGCGATGCCTGCAGCAACCATCCCAAAGCCATACAATCCTCATCATTTTCTGCTCATAACTTTCAACTGGAGAACAAGTGATAACAAAAGTTGGCTGATAGTGCCAGCTACTGAATTGTGCCTACAAAACCAGTTTCCTATAGTGATGCCCCCAATAAAAACAGGCACTGTATTATTCACTGAAATTTTCACTTCTGGTGTGCGAGAATTGGCCGTCCACAAGGAAGTTGCCCAGAGGACACCTGGATGCTTTGATGTTTTACCATCCTTGTAGGAGGTTTCTCTCATGTTCCCACATGGGGAGCTGGAGCTGACAGAGAGAGCTCGTCCATGCTCTCCCCAAATTTGAACCTCCAATCTGTCAGTCTTCAGCCCTTCCAGCACAAGGGTTTAACCCATTACGCTCCAGGGGCTTGCAGTTTCTCGAATCGCTCCTGACACCAAAAAAAAAATCTTCACTGAAATTAGTGACCACAAAAGCCACCATTTAACTCATACTGTTGTACTAGACTTAGGCTGCTACCTTTAGCTAACTGACCGTGAACTAAGTCCCACAGGATCCAGCAGGGCTTCTGTAGAGTTAAGCACAGCAAGATCATTTTTCAGCTTCCTGGTGCCTTTAGGTAAATAAATTGACAATTTAAAAAGGCATTGTTCAAGAGAAGAAGGAAATCAGGTTTTACTTGATTTTGTCAAAATAAACATGTCAAAAGATCACAACTGCTTAAAGAATAGGTTTATTAACAATAATTCCACAAACATTCTAAAGAAAATGTCAGAAAGCTTGGAACTTAAAAATTTGTTCTCATTGGCAAATATCCCTGAAGGAAAAGAAGAGAGGGGAAAGGAGGGAAAAGGAACAAGTGTTATTGTCTTGAATTTTTTTTTCTAATTTGTTTTGGTTTTAGTGCTGCCCCCAAATGCTTACTGTACACACCCAACTCTCCTATATCTGAGAACAACTGATTTTTTTCCTTTGTATGTAGAATAACAGGATCTCTCCTAAGCACCTATTTGCCTGCTTTGAACCTGAAAGATAGCATGGTTTGATGTCACCTCACAGAGGTACAAACCCAGTCAAATTATTCTGGAATACAAACTGAATTCAAAAGCCACCTTTCTCCAAAGTGAAACACCATGCAGTACAAGAATCGTTGACATGCATTTTGGTGGATATTTTCTTACTTCAAGGTATGCAGCCTCACCTCTAAAAAGAGGGATTTCTGTTGTGTTTTGATTAACATGTACTCAAACATTTGATAACATTAATATTTATTGCTTTATATGAATACTGTATTGAAAGCCCAAGCATCCAGTTTACACACGAATTATACAATTATATACCGTTTCACAATGGCAGTGAGCACTCTTTACAATCTACAAAAAAATCTACTTTACAGAAATTTAAAAATTCTAAATATCAAAAAGGTACAGTCTGAAGAAACAGGTATAAATTTGGCAGCCAGGAAATGTGACCAGGTGATTGGGATCGTGACATCTTTACATGTCAATATCTGAAAAAATATGAATGTGAAGAACTGAAAGCAGCAGCAGTTGTGCTTTGAGCTGGTTTTGGAAAAGAATTAACACTGGCTGTCAAAAGGAGCGCGTTCAAAAAGTAGTTAGTTCATTTTTCAAAAGGATGTATAAAGACTGGTAGTTCCTATGCACACTTACAACTGCTAGCCTGCAACCCAAGTACATAACTATGGTGTGTAATGCAGCAGCGTCTCATGCCAATCTCATCTGCTGACTCTGAAACTATGATCCAAAGCCAAACATTGAATCTGTTCGGAGAAATGTTTCTGTCAGATATGTGAACATATCTTTCTTTTAAAAATGCTGAAATTATTGTTTTGAAGTCTGTTCTCACCATAAAAACATTATCTCAGGAATAACATGAAAAACTTTTCATTCAGACACCTCAGAAATGTACAAAAGCGTGTCGTTAGAACAGATTTTTTGGAATGTATTTAATCTGGTACTTTCAACAGGGTTTGGATCTTCAGGATGTGATGCGGGCCAAATTTTATTTGGTTTATTCAGAGGTGAAAATGTTGCCTTGTGTAAATGAATACAGCTGTTTCCATTAGGAAAAATAATAATAAAGCTTTAAGTCTCAGAGTGCAAGCATAAGCTTTCTTTCGATTTGCATGTTTTCAAGTATCGTATGTCAATAGTGTGCCTTTTCAAAGCTCACAATGCAGTCTATTGAAAACCTGGAAACCAAAAAGAAACCTCGTAATTCAGACATTAAATGTTGAAACTGTAACCAAAACCAGAAAAAAGCTACAAATAGCAGCAGGGAAAATGAAGGCAGGAAATAATTAAGCGTGGTAATCTCCAAAAGGTTTGTCAAAATTATAATTACCTTCCAGTTTAAAAACTTTTAATTCTAAATAAAAAAGACTATACACAGACCACTGATTTGACCATAGTGAAATTTCAGCGGCAAGCAGGACCTGAAGGTGTCGGTATTTCACAGTAACAAGGACAACTCCTTCAGGATTTCACGTACTGAGAAGTTCAATTTACAGCCTGCTTTTCTTGTAAAACTAAAGGTCCACTTTTATTACATAAAATTATTATTTATACAGTGTAAAACCAGAGCCTTATGGAAAATACTGCCTCTAAGTATATTTAAATTATTAGTCTTGTTCCATAGGTTCTTCTGGAGCTTCTGTGGCTTCGTCGCAGTTTTCCATGGGGGTCTCCGATGCCGTTTCTGGGGTTTCGCTGACGTAAGAGCCCAATTCTTCTGTGTCGCTGCAGCTGGCTCTGCTGCTGACAGACCCACTGTTTTCACTTTCTTCAGAAGGCAAATCCTTCTCTGCTTGAGTCTGGTCAGATTCCTCCATCTGATTATTCTCCTCGGAAAGATTTTCTTTCACAGTTAAGGATTCACTGTCTTTCTCTTGTTCTTTTCTCTCTGGAACAGTTTCTCTCGGTGTCATGAGGGATTCTGCAAGATTGGATTTAGAGTTAAATACAGATACTTAAAATAAGATAGAGCTCTCCCAAGACCTATATCGATAGCTATATAGTTCCTTATATTACCGCTTTTCCCACAGCAAATTAGATGCCTGGCAGTTCTGCACTTAGTCAGTAGACACAAGTTAGTGTTTTCCTGCCCATACATATTACCTGCTTACACATAGTCCTTTTGATTTTCTCTGCTACACAGGAGACATTTAGTATTAAATAGACACATGTCAGGCTGGAGATGCAAGGACAAGCAAGAAAATTCAAACTGCAGTCTTGCTCTGCCCCTCAATGATGTAAATCTTTAGGCTTTTTCTCATGTGTGCAACCTGTAACTTTCCAGATGTCACTGGGCTGCAGCTTCCCCTATCCCCTTTTATTGGCAGCCACAAGGACAAGAAATGACTCAAGGGCACCTTAAATCGCCATTTTCTGCGAGGGACATTTTTCTACACCCTTGTATATCATGGGATCTGAGCATCCATGGGTTTTGGTATCCACTGTGGGTCCTGGAACCAAACCCCAGCAGATACTGAGGGCCACTGTATTTTACTTAAGGGCTTTGATTGTTATGTACTTGGAAGTTTGGCATGCCCTAATTGTTATTGCTGGGTATAATTGGTCCTCCGTGTCCATGGATTTAATCATCTGACATTCAAAAAAGTTTTGATTTATATACCTATTTTATATACTTATATACTTCAAGATCACATAAAATTTATTGGGCAAAAAGGGGTCACAAAACAAAGAAGTTCAAGAAGTCCTAATCTGGATTAGTCCTCTTCTGTCTACCTAACAATAAGACCAGGCCTGATGCCATTTTAAGGATCAGCAAAGACAAGGTGCAGTCTATATCCCCTCAATAGACTGAAGGAGGGAAAGGCATGACAGACTGCACAGTTTAATTCAAGCTTATACTCCTATATAGAGACATGTATTCACAACATTAGTCTACCAAACAAAAACCATCCTTCAAATTCTGACTTGAATTGAGCTAGCTTTGGTTGTGGGGGCAACTTAGATCATTAGATTCGGTGCAGACTGTGTGAAACAACAGAATATACCTTCATATGGAGTAATTAATATGAAATTAGTTATTCCCCGGAGCCCCCGGTGGCGCAGTGAGTTAAACACCTGTGCCAGCAGAACTGAAGACCGACAGGTCGCAGGTTTGAATCCGGGGAGAGCACGGATGAGCTCCCTCTATCAGCTCCAGCTCCTCATGCGGGGACACAAGAGAAGCCTCCCACAAGCATGATAAAACATCAAAACATCCGGGCGTCCCCTGGGCAACGTCCTTGCAGACGGCCAATTCTCTCACACCAGAAGCGACTTGCAGTTTTCTCAAGTCACTCCTGATACAAAAAAAAAAGTTATTCCCCGACTTTCACTGCCTTCAGTCATTTAGACCAGTACAGGACCATTAGTTTGTATCATATTATATATTATTATTATGCATGCAAATATTTATTAATAACACCAACATTTAAGTTCTTTTCTTATGGTTCCTTCCTGCTTATTAGTTCAATGGAAAGTACATAACAAAGTAGTGTGTGGCTTATGTCATTAAATACAGGAATCAGCAGAGAAGATTTATCTTCAAGTACAGCAGCCTTAGTGAGAGCCTATATCCTCACTGGCCTAAAGACAAAAAGCAAGGGAAATAGAAAGTAGAGGATTAGCTGATTTCAATGGCCATGGAAGGACATTTACAGCTAATCTGTATTCGCAGCACATAATCAGAGAAGCAAACCAGGGACTCAAATAACTGACAGTCAATCAGCCATATACCTTCCTCCTCTTCCTCTTTACAATGCTGCCTCTCACAAATATTTTCTTTTTCTTTGCCCTGAGATGTGGAGGTTGTGTCAGTCTCTTCTACCATTGCTGTACAAGTTTCACTGGAACTACTACTCTGATCGGGCGTTTCTTCAGCTTCCTCCTCTTTGTCAAATTTGAGTCTTTTCACCTCGTGTCCTTCATTTTCTGTTGGATCTTCTTCAGAGTGTTTGTTTTTTACCGGGCTGCTTTGGACTCTTTCAGGTTCAGATGCTGGAGATTCGCTGGAATAGAAAAATGGCACTGGTATGAAAATTCATATTCACATGAAGAGACCACAAGCACCCTGTCACAGTGCTGAGCAATAGACATTTTTTCTATATTGTGTTTATTAAATTTGAGAGCAATAAATCTTGTAGCAAATGGAAGGGAAAATGTGATGTAGAACTGATTTGAATTTTGGCTTTATTCACAGATAGATGGATCAGGCTCCACCAGTAACAGGACAGCTCTGTCACTATTTACATTACACAGGATCTTCAGTAGCCAAGGTTATTAGTTCTTCTTAGTACTACACATTTATTTTGTATTTTAGACAATTAGATCACATTGGGACAGACAATGTATAAACAACAACCCAGTATCCGTCAGTAATATTTTTTTTCTGGAACAGGTCAATCTACCAAAATAGAAAGATGACCAATGAAATCTGTGCATCTATCAGAGTATACTCTGTTTTCCAGAGTAAAGGCTTGTTAAAGTAGCTCTCTCTAGCTACAGGTGGAGTATACATTACCAAAAAATAAAAAAGCTGTTGTGAAACTAACAAACAAACAAACCAATTGTTATACACGTCTCATACAAACCTGCTAATTTTTTCCTCTGCTTGAGAGAGTCCTGACTCCTTATTTTCTGGACTGTCTGGTAAACCGTTGGTTGTCATAGGAGGCGATAAAGAAACTTTTGGTCGATTTATGGGCCGTGGAGTTCCAGGGCCATTAATATTGGATCTGCAAAGACAAGAGAATATTACATTTGATTAATCCAATTTTGAGTGTCAGATTTTCAATGGATCTTTTATTTGATGGGATATTGAAATAAGGATTATTATTCCATTCCTACTTGATGGAGCTGACTAAGATGACTTCCTAAAGTAAAGAGAATCTGACAGTAATATCCTAAGCAGAGCTAGTCAAAAGCAACTTCCAATGTATTTAAGTGACACTGTCATGACAGAAGAATTTAGGATGTCAGTCCAAACCTAGTAAGAATTCAATTATTGCTCAACACATTATTCTTCAAAAGAGATTGTTTTATATTATTTGTAACCTAACAAAATGGAAAAATAATAATACATTGGCTAAAACCCAAAATCCCTTTAATGTACCCTGTACACTTGTGTGTAAGTCTAGAAATTTTAGACAAAAAAATCAATCCCAGAAACCTGGGCCAATGTGATTACTGTATTCTTCTTTTGAAATGAACCATTCCCTTCTCCGAAAGGCGAGAGTTTGCTCTGTCTTGGAAGAACCTTAAAAAAGCACCAAGACCCTCTACTCTCTTTTCTGTGGCACCACTTCCGGCCTTTGTGAATGCCTGGGTGGGGAAACAGCAGTGGTGACCAGGGACAGCTGGTTCCTCAAGGCAGTTCTTGCAATTTCCCTTCTTCATAATCCTCAATTTATCCACTGGTCATATCTAAATTCATAATTTGGCCCAGAAACTTGTCCTCAACTTATACATGAGTACATATATTAATCATAGAGTTGGAAGAGACCACACAGGTCATCCAGTCCAACCTCCTGCCATGTAGGAAAGGTACAATAAAAGCACCCCTGAAAGATGACCAAATACCCACCTGCAGACTTACACTACGCTGAGCCATATGCCCCCACCCCCAACCTACTGCAAAAGCCAGAAAAGCCATCATGCACAGTCAATCTATGCTCCAACTTGCCTCCTCACAGGCAGACATGAAATGATTAAAGCAGCACTAAGATCCCTGGAGGACTGTGATGGATTTCAGCAATGATGTCATCATTCTGCATCTGGCAACAGCAATATAGCCAGATGTTTTTCAGATTCTGCCAGCACACCTGGGCAGAGAGCTTCAGTAACTTTTCAGAAGAAGGGGGGAAAAAAAGGGGGGGGGGGGGTACTCCAGAGGGAGGGACCCTTTTAAATGCCTAAAAAAAAGCATATATATGCATAGGATAAATTTCGCTATGTGCATATTCTTAAAAGAATTCTAGTCTTGATGTACCTGAAAACACAGGTAAACTATTTCTTCACGAACGCCAAAAATAACACATATGCCTCACTCTCCACAGAGGTTATCTTTTCACAACAAAAATTGAACTTATCCAAAGTTTTTGAAATTGAATTTAAATGCCAAATGTTAAAAAGATTTAGGAACACAAATGTTATAGCCATCATCTTACATTTTCCACAGCAACCATACTGTGTTTAAGCATACTCTTCTCTTACCTCTCAGAATAACCTGGTGAGTTTCCAGGAAACATTACACCATTCATTCTGTTTAAACTGTTGGAATTATTTTTCCTACAAGAAATAAAATTATTGTAAGATTTCTGCCATATTATTTTTAACTTTTATTTTAAAATGTCCAGACTTGAAGAATCCTACTAAGTAGAATCATAGAGTTGGAAAAGATCACAAAGGCCACCCAGTCCAACCTCTTGCCATGCAGGAAAATACAAGTATTCTTTCTCTATTAGAGTAATGATTTTTGTAAGGCCATCATCTACTCTCTGCCCTTATGAACAAAACCCACCATATGTTTAAACATGGAAATATACAACAATCCAGAAACAAAACTGCACTTCTATTGTGCAACACAACATACTATTTTAAAACCAACTATCATGTTTTGCCTCTGCTTCTCCCAATTTTCCAGTGTTATGGGATCAATTAGGTCTTGCAAATAGGAAACAAGGGTAGGGTCTTCTCCATTCAAATATGTAAGCAGCTCCTTCTGGCATGATGTTCATGTGCAAAATGAGACACTATATTGACTAAGCAGTTTCTTCCACATTGCTGCAAATGTTGTACTTCAACAAAAAAAAAGAGTTTTAAGTAGCCACACAGTTTTTTCTTTGTCATTATGTACAGGGCTTTAATGAAATACACACAAACAAATAAAAGTGGACAATAATGGACTTTGCATATTTTATATGTGAGGTAATGAAGCCCAAACCTCTACAGTGCCATACTCAACAAACTCACTAATCTGGTGAATTAATTGACTAATTAATCTTTCAAGAACACCACTTTTAATTTGCTCCACTTCCTCTGGATCAAATTTTCAGGGTAGCAATGGGCTGCATGGAGAAGGTGAAACTACTGTATTTCTTCAATTTTAAGATGCACCTTTTCCCTATATAAACATCTCTAAAAATGATGCATCTTAGAATCACTGGTGCTTTTTTATATACTTAAACAAAGTTGATGTTTTTTTCTGTTGTTGGTACTGAAATTGATGTGTATCTTACAATCAATGGTGTCTTAGAATTAATGAACTACATTAAATAAAATTTGCACCCTGCTATCTTTCATTCACTAACATATTTTGGGGGTTTTACACACAAGTTGTTCTTCTAAATATAAGGAAAGTATTATATGTGTATTTAAGTCAGAGACTTCAAACATCAGTGGGTTTATTTTAATTATGCTGCACCACTTGTTTGGGGGAATTGCATACAATAAGATCATCAGATTATGAAGAGATTAACCTCTCTTAACCTCTCCTCATCTATCACAGGGCAAAACTGTCATAACAACGCATGTATAAAATGAAACCAATCTCCATGTGCACAAAATTATGCAATGTGATACTATCCAACAGAGAATCACAGCTTAGTCACTGTTGTATGTTTTTATGTTGAATGTTTTTATATTGTGTAAATGCTATTTTAAATTGTAAGTCGCTTGGAGCACCTTGGTGGAGAGCGACTAATTAAGAAATAAAGTGAAGTGAAGTGAAGCTTTAAACACTTTTTTCATTTGCAATTCAAGGTATTTCCTTTTTTAGGTTTCCTGATCTTTTTAAGAACATTCAATTCTTCTTGGCTCCGCAAATACTGTTCCAATTTTCCTTTGCTATCACATATAATCTTATAAAATGTGTACTGTTTTATAGTCGTTCTAGATTTCCAAGACTCTCAAATGTCATGCTAGAGGACCTTTTATATTACCCACATGCATAGTGCTAAATTTCAATTTAAGTGTCATGGCAACATACTATGACATCCTGGACTCTGTAGTTCAGTAAAGCACTACAGCTCTCTGGCTGAATGCCGCTCTACATTAGAAATGCTATGATTCCACTTTAATTGCCATAGCAACATCTTGTGGAATCTTGGCATTTCTAATGTAGAGAGTGGCATATAGAATTCTCAGCCAGAGAGCTCTAGTGCCTTACTGAACTACAGAGTCCAGGATTTCATACTGTGTTGCCATGACACTTAAATTAACTATGTAGTGTAAAAGGATTCTACTTTTAAGTTTGATGTAACCAAAACATCCTAGTTCTTATTAGGTTCTTCCGGTTTCATGTCAGCATTTTAACCCAACTCTGCAATTGTCAATTAGTTTTATGAACTAAATAAAGAGCAGCAGCACCCCTGTAAAGTTTGCTGAAAAACAAAGCACTTTCATGATCACTCCTTTACTGTGAAAGGTGACAGGGTGTTTCATAGCTATCCAGTCAAGTTCTCATTGGCTAGCCACATGTTGGTTGGGTTTCAACAGAATACAAGAAGAAAATGTTCAGGTGAGATTTGGGTGTAATAGGCAGGTCAAAAGGTACACATGTAACTCCACCTATCTCTGATTTCCATGCAATTTGATGTTAACTCTTTTTTAGCAGCTAAATGTGCTGGAAAGTTATTGTCCCTGTCTATTAAAACCCTGACAAATGGGAAAATTATTCTGCCAAAATCCAGCTAGAAGCCTCTTACAGGTTACTAGCTAGCTGTATTTTATTACTTAGTATCACAAGTTGCAGTTTGTTTGCTCATGTGGTTTCGATCTGATCTTAATCTTCCCATCAAACTGTTTCAAAACTGATCTGAGGCAGCATCCTGTCAAAAGTAACTACCTAAAATATTAATTTTAAACTAATCAAGCATGCAGCCATGTTTGTTATAAATCAATATCCAATTACTGTTATGGTAGATCCCATATTATATGCCAGCAGGGCCATTTTCTTACACAGTAAGCAGTTCTAGTGAGAACATGATTGTTTATCAGTTTTGAACATAGGACATTACTAACATTATAAAGAAAATTCCCCTGAGCTTTGGTTGGACAATTAAGAAAAGCAAAAGTTGTACTTACTCTGAAGATGGATACACGCAACTGACAACCATAACGTTCTTTAAAACACATGAAAAGAGAACAAAATAATATATAGATTAAAATGTGTCTTCTGCAACACAAGCATCAGTTTCCTCGAACTGTCCTCTTGGCCATGGATAGGGTCCTAACCAGCATCTTTTGGTAACAAATTCCTTATAAAAATACTTTGGTAGCACTGGGAAAGTGTCTAAACCCCAGAATGCAGAAACTTTCAAGTTCCTGAAGCTAAATGGTGGTTAGTTACTTGAAATCAGTTAACAAAATCATCTTCTGACACAGTCTTGTACTATCGGTTATTAGTGCATGTTACATACAGTCTTCAAGACCCATAAGCTTCCCTGATGGAAACAGCTGGAGAAAAGAAAGGGGACCTCACTCTAAACAACATAATGTCTATGTACTACATAAAGTGAATCTGAAATTACACTATTTCCTCTGTTCAATCCACAACACTTGCCTTTTTTTGTGTTGTCCCATGAAAAAAAATTAAACCCAATGTACATACACAGCATTATGGAAGTAATACCATCCCACCTGACAGAACATATGAACAGCTGTCATTTCACATGCAAATTTGGGTTTTCTCCCCTATTACATTTTCACAAACTGTTGCTGAAAAGCCACTGCTATCAAACACGGTCATGTCAGGACATGTATTCACTTCCTCTGTGCCACATGGGAATGGTTAAATAGAAGAACATGAAAGAATAAAAATAAATTTTGAATTGTCTAAATCTCTGCTCAATATATATATATGGCTGCAATGACTATTTTACAATGGCTCTAAAATGTTTATTTACTTCAGAACATTTATCTATTCATTTTTAAACAATTTAAATTGTAGATTTTGTCAATACAGTTGCAGGAAGAAGTAGAAGCAGCTCCCCCTCATTTTACAATCAAGAGAATGAAAAATTTGCTAGTAATAACATGAAACCACAATTTACTTGTTTTGTTTATTAAAAGCTGTTATTTGTTCCATGGTGTAATACCAACTTATAGAATGTAACAAATATTTGAGATTTTAATTATCAAGATATGTAACCTGTGAAAGCACATTGTTAATTGAGGACTAGTTATCTTAAACACTTTAGATCCTGCTGATTCATGGAAGTTTAACAGTTTGCTCTGCTGATTCATGGAAGTTTAACAGTTTGCTCTGAAGAATAGGAACTGTTGGCTACATTTCAGAGATAGGAACTAGCAAAACCACCTCTGAGTAGTCCTTGACTAAGAAAAACTTAGGACATTAATGGGGTCATCCTAAGTTAACAACTGACTCAAAGAATTTAAGTAAAGCAAAAATTTAACCAGGAGATGGACATTACCTTTTCAACTCCTCTAAGAAATTTGTCTGTTCCTGTGTAGTTCCTCCTTGGATCAGTCAGCAGTTCACAAAGTCGCTGAATAGTAAAGGGAATACTGGGGGGGGGGGGGGGGGGGGGATGCAATAAATGAATTATGAGAGTTTGCATGTAACTGTCTCACGCAATGTTTTGTGAGTTTGCAGGAGTACGGTAACTACAAAGTCACTAGACACATCTCTTTAGTACCTCTCAAAAGGTAACAGACTAAATAAACAGTAGATGGTGCTATAGCATCACAGACAACTGTAACACCAAAATGAGTTTACTGCAAAATGCCCCAAGATGTTGGAGGAAATTCAGAAAGTTTCAAAAGAAAATAGTTCTCATGTAGTTGGTCAGAGAAGCAAACTACTGAGCACCTGCACCACTCAATAGGCTTTTGGGGACACCTAAATTTTCTAAATCTAACAAAACATAGATTAAAACATGGTATGGTCCGATAAAAAATTATTTTCATGTCAACATCTGTCTGTCTGTGTATCTATCTATCTATCTATCTATCTATCTATCTATCTATCTATCAAAATAAACTTGAACTGAAGTGAATAGTGAATAGAGCTATTTGAGTTTAATCCACACCAATGACTTATGCTGTGGTTGCTGGGATCTGCAGCACAACATTTGAAGAACCACATAATTTGCTGATTGGAAATATGGTGGGCAATTTGGTTGGAAGGAAGGTCTAGTATGAACTCTAAAACCTATTCTACCATCTTTATTCCATAGCTAAAATGTTTGTAGTGATGGAGACAATCTTAATATAATTTTGAAGGCCCAATGTAACTTAAAACACTTTGGACAGAACTATTTTACACCGAGGTTCTATACTGCATCTGTCATATAACTGATCAAAATGTGAAATGGGAGAATTTATTAAGTAAAACTTGATGTAAAACAATACTCCAAGAAGTTTGGGTTTCTAGATTTGTTCAGCCAAGAAGCTGAAAAGTTATGTTTTCACTTTTAATTTAATTCTGCTATGAAGTTAATCTATGTTTCTATAATCAAAGTCCCATTATGGCAAAAAAATAAAAATAAATCAGTAGTAAAGTATCATTTCTAAAAGTGAAGGGTGAATGAGAAACCAGACTGAACAAGGAAAAAGCCTCCTCAAACCCTGAGTAAATACAGTTGGTCGTCTCCTGGGCAACATTTCTTGTAAAAGGCCAATCTTGTCAACCCAAAAGCATTGCTTTACAACATTTTTATTTATGTGGTGCCGTTGACACAAAATAAAATCAATAAATAATCAAAATCACAAAAGTTAAACTCACAGATGTGGAGGGCTGGCTGCATTATGTCCGAACTATCTCACAATGTTGTAAGGACTATAAAAGTCTTTACAACTTCCATCAAACTGCTAAAACTAAGAATATATTTGTTTCAGACATATTCATATTTTTAACTGCATTGGAAATGAAGAAACAAATTGCCCTCCAACTTAAAATACAACTTCCAGTAAAATAAGTAGCTCAACTCTTCTGCTCTTACATCATAGTCACTTGGAATTTATTCATCCAGTAAGCAATTAAAAAGCTGTCATGCAAATTAAAAAGCACAATCTCTGAAGGGTGACAACTCATCAACTCTTTCCAAACTGAGCTAAGAGGAGCTAAACAAGTAATTTGTGTACAAGGATAATTCCGAAAGTTTCCTACAGCATTTGAATTTTACCAATAAACATTTATTAATAGTCCTGATTCACTTTGTTGCACATATGGCAGAAAATTACTACAATATGAAGGTAAGAATAATAAATCATGCATTCCAAACAACAAGTAGGACTTGATGTAAGATTGCATACCCATTAAAGCCAGTGACTATTTTCAGAATACGTTCTTTCATCTCCTCAAAGGGAATATACTCCACATTGGGGTTAGGAGGGCCTCTTGGCTCAGGAGCAGAAGTTCTGAAGTCATCCATCACTTTCTCCAATTTGAAAATGAAATAGCCTTTGAACTGTGACCACTGAATCCTAAAAAAAAGAAAAAAGAAACACAGAGCTTGCTTAACAATGTATGAAAAACCACATGCTTGCCACATTTATATTAAAGCAATAAAGCAAGCACAGCATAGTCAGCTTCAAAATAACCTGCAGGAAAGCAAGAAAAAACAGAGATCCAAACTTTTGTATTGTGTATTTTATTATGTCTCAGAGTCAAAATACCAAACCTAAATCATTAACAAACCAGGGTAATTTCTGGCTGATGAAAACTAGGATCAAATAAAATTGCTGAGGAGGGGTACAGAAGTACCAGTCCTGGAGAAAGTGGCAAACAAACTTCTAGCCTACCACCCATTTTTTTTGCAGTTGAGATAAGTCATTATATCCCAAGAAGGACTAGGAAAACATTTCCCATTGCTGCCAAAGTGGTGGCAGAATAGATCTAGTGGACTCTAATTAAAGATGATTGCCATGTCGAAGAACACAACTAGCCTGTCCGTGAAAGAAAAGGTAGAAGGTAGGATTGATGTTTTACAGCACTGAGTATAATCTGAATTAGTTTGACAAATACATACATTTTTTTTCAAAAAAAAATTGTAGGTTCAGCAGCTGGAGATCAAGTTGTGGCAACTCCTGCACTATTTTGTTGCTTACTTTTGTTTCCTCGTCACTTCTCGCTGTTTTCAAATATCAGTGCCACAGAAGACAACTAATCAATTCTTCCTTGATCCAGAAGTTGTAGAAACAAGTGACAGAAAAGCTACTTTCTTGTGGCCAACGCAGTCCAAATTAAATTTCTGCCAATTTTCAAGTATCACAAGTAATAACGCCCGCTCAAGTGATTGTGCCATCACAAAGTACCCTTCTTATCAAAGAAAGTACAAAAGCATCACACATTCCTATCTATTGCTGTATCCAATCAAGACTTAAAAGTATACACAGATTTTTTAAAAAAACAAGACTGCCAGTGTCCAACAATACAAAGTAGGCCTGGGCAATTTAGTTCGTTATTTCGTTATTTCGTTATTAATTCGTTATTTTTGCATTTTTGAAGCAATATCAAAACACATTTTCAAACCCGGAAGGGTTTAAAAATATCGAACCGGCAGCCCCCATAAATTTAACGAGCTTCCGCTCGTTTCGTTAATGGGATGGAGGCTGCTGGAGTGCTGGTGCCATTCCCCTCTTTCTCGGCCTGGGCTGCTCTCCCCGCCCTCTTTCCCCTCTCCCCGTTTTCCAACACTCCTCCTCCTCCACATGCGGCTGCATAGTGAGTGAAGTACTGTATTATAATAGCGCTGCATCAGGGGCGGCTGAAGCAACTTACGTGCCAAATCCCTGGCTGTGGGCTGCTTGCCTTGCTTGCTCGCTGCTCCAAGCGGGCGAAAGGAGAGGGAGAGAGAAAAACAGTGTGCTGCTGCCTGTCTCTTTAAGGAAGGAGCACATGGAGCCCTCGGCTGCCGGTTTGGCGGAGGGAGGGAGGCAGGCGCGCGCTTGGTTGCTCTTTTTTTCTCCTCAGCTAAACCCAGAGCAACCAAGCGCGCGCCTGCCTCCCTCCCTCCGCCAAACCGGCAGCCGAGGGCTCCATGTGCTCCTTCCTTAAAGAGACAGGCAGCAGCACACTGTTTTTCTCTCTCCCTCTCCTTTCGCCCGCTTGGAGAAGCGAGCAAGCAAGACAAGCAGCCCACAGCCAGGGATTTGGCACGTAAGTTGCTTCAGCCGCCCCTGATGCAGCGCTATTATACAGTACTTCACTCACTATGCAGCCGCATGTGGAGGAGGAGGAGTGTTGGAAAACGGGGAGAGGGGAAAGAGGGCGGGGAGAGCAGCCCAGGCCGAGAAAGAGGGGAATGGCACCAGCACTCCAGCAGCCTCCATCCCATTAACGAAACGAGCGGAAGCTCGTTAAATTTATGGGGGCTGCCGGTTCGATATTTTTAAACCCTTCCGGGTTTGAAAATGTGTTTTGATATTGCTTCAAAAATGCAAAAATAACGAATTAATAACGAAATAACGAAATAACGAACTAAATTGCACAGGCCTAATAGTTACACCTTCCTTGGGTAATGTAAAGCATCTCAAACAGGACTTGAACAGACACATTCTATTAATTTGATGTCATTTCTGAAATCAATGAACTATAATCACCTCAGTGGTATACGGGGATCTTGAAATAACCTCTGGGGCCATCCAATAAGGTGTTCCTACTAATGACTTCCTTTTTGGCACATCTTTACTGATTTGAGCACAAAAGCCAAAATCAGAGAGTTTCACCTATTCAAAAGAGAAAAACAATAATCATTGCACATCCAGAGCAAAGGAGGAGGAATAGGACAAAGGGGTATATAGTGGGGAACAAAGAATTAATGTCACCTTTCCCTACATCAAAACCCCAGCCTGGATCACCACCCCCACCACCTTATGAAACAATTTATTTTTTAATAAAAAATATTCAAAATTACTAATTACACGGATTTCCAGAAAGAATTTGAAATCCTAGTTATAACTTTTAATGTCCTTGGTGGCTCAGGTGATCCAGACTATTTGAAAGATCATATATCCATCAGGCATGTAGCCGGGGGGGGGGGGGGGGGNATACAAAGCTCTTTGTTCCTGTTTAATCAAGCCTAGCTTCTAGAGTAGTAATCACCAGGTCACAGCCATGGGGTTCAACACAGTTCCAGAGGGTCTCCACTTACCTCTCAACATAGCTCTTGCCCCATAAGCATCACATCCTTGTATTAGGTACTTATTCCAAACAGGTTAGTGTACACACAAAGAGTTCTTCATACTGTACCTCTAGTTGGTGTGGGAAGTAAGAGAGATCAAAAGTTCTCCTTGCACCATTTGCTGTGTCTAATTCAGATTTGCAGGAGTGGCAGTTTTCAAAGAGGTGGTCATTTTAGTCCCTTGCAGTATAAAGGGGGGGAGTGTGGTAGCAACTTTAAGACTGAATGGTTTTTGTAGGTTAAGACCCTCAGATATAAAGCATATTTGTACAGTTGTGGGATATAATGGGATGTAATTCAGAAAGAAGCAAAAATTGCCCTAAATTTTCAAATGGCTGTGTATGGTGAAGATTCGGAAGTGACTGAACAAATAAACAACAACAAATATGTGGTTAAACAGGTTTTCAGATATTCATGGTAGTCAGTTATTGTTGATGTATGAAAACAACAGATCCGCTTACACAAAGTCAGTTTCCCTCCTGCACAGCTCTCTTATGCCCAAGGACTGAAAGACCATTGCAAAACCAAAGCTAAGGGCATTGAGAGGAATAATGGAAAGGATGTGATGGGAAATTCTGTGCAACTGTGGAGGGGCGCTGCTTTCTGGCATTCTCATGGATTTACAGGAGGTCATGCATGGAAGATGATTACTTTTGAACGGACAAGATTTTCTCTGGTGATCAGACACTCCTGAGTAGATTTCAAGTCCACAGTTTAAGTCTTTCGAGGCAGAAGTATGAACTGGTTAGAATCAGGCTGCTGATGCACTGCATCTCCCAGCAGTCAGCATACCCATGGGTGGGAGAACATGGGAGTTGCAGTTCAAAACTTCCAGAACACCTTGTGTGCTCCATCCCAGTGGGACCTGGCTTCTTTTATTCCTGAACAATGAATGGACAGAAATAACCAAATAGCTGCTGAAGAAGGTGCAAAAAGCAGGACACGGGAGAAATAGGGTGACTATTTGAATGAACCGGGGCGTCTCTGTGGTTTCCATACCACTCTTGGCTGGCAACAGGACTGCCAAGCATCCCATTGGGCTGCAGGGCTGCTTCTCAGCACATTCCTAGAACAGGTGGCTTCCTCCACTACAGATTTGGAGCACGAAGCCAAGGGGGGCTGGTAAAGAGGCCTCTCCTTATCCTCCAAACTTTTCCCCATGGACAGTCTTGCAGATGGAGGGGATACTGTCCTGCTATCCTCCCCAACTGCTCATCTGTACCCTCCTTTTCATGACGTGTCCTTCTTCCATCTTTTCCAGTGCTTGGCTTGTACCTTAATTGCACTCCTTGTCACTAGCACAAAATTAGATAAGAGGCAAGTGAGCCCTGAATCCTACAAAACTCAGCCTGGCTGTGGGTGTCCCTCTACCCTTAAAGACCAGAAGGCAAGGCATTCTGTTGTTGGGCCCAGGGCTGCCTCAGGGTAGAAACCCCTCCTGTGCTTTGGTCTGATCAACTTACCTATACTCACCCCAGTGGAAGGGATGGTGGGGGAGGCTTCAGAGTAAGGGGAGCCATTGTTGGGAAAGTTCCGCCTGGTGGCTCCAGTGACACTGCCTCCTAATCCCATATGCTCTATAGGTCCTCACCCTTTTTGCTTTCACTCACATAGAGTTGGTGGAGATGTACTGAAGGAGGAGTGCCAGGAACAAGGTGATCTAATAAGATGGGAGGCTGTTGTCAGTCCCCATAGATCAAAGTGGGACACAGTAAGGCAAGCCCTACTGCCTCAGAAACAACAAGGCTGCCCTGAGTCCCCCTTGTGGGGAGAAGGGCGGGATAGAAGTGTACAAAATAACCTCCTTCTTTTCACCTCCTTTCTCTCTTCCCCTCCTTACAAGGTTTGGCCACCACAAGAGAACACTACTGCCAATCTGCCACAAAATGAGGTGGCTGTGCTGTGTGCCAACTGGCCAGTATGGTCACTGAAGTCACCAAACCCAAAACACTAATGCCCTTCTGAAAAATGGTTTCTGTCTCCTACCCCCCACCTTAGAATCCCTAGTGCAAACAACAGTTAACCAAGCTTTCCTGGTTGCTGCTGCTGGCACCATGAAGCTTGATTGCTTTCAAAGAATGAGAGAAGAAGATGGAGAAGGAAAAGAAGTAGGCAACAAAGGAGAAGGCGGGGGAGCCTGCTCTTCCATCTTTCTTCCTCTTGAACAAATATCAAGTCCCACCCAAGTGTTGTTCCCAACAATCTAAGAACAACTGTACTAACTGCATGTTTAGAGAAATCAAAATCAAAAACTACAGTTGAAAAATACTTCCTGAAAGGCTGCAAATATGTTAATGAACT